GACTGCCAGCGTGAACGGTGTCCCGGTTCCTGGATGTTTACCCAGGAATCAGTGCCTGTGGATTCCAAGTGACTCTGGAGCACCTTGGACATTATGGGCAGAATACGTTTTTTGTCAATTAGCCGTAGAACATCTTTTGAAGGGCCGTTTGGGGGCGCCTGAGTGGCTTACGGCCACACCGCTCTGGGAGCGCCTGATCTCGGAAGCTAAGCAGAGCAGGGCCTGGTTAGTACTTGGACGGGTGACCGCCTGGGAATACCTGGTGCTGTAAGCCTTTTTCGCTTCGCCTTCGAAAAACGGCAGAGGGCACTTCGGTGAAAGGAGATCTTTTGAACGTCTCTTTAGGAAACAGCAGGGGGCGCTGCTGCTGCTGCTGCTGCTTCTTTTTCTCCCGATCCTGTACACAGTGCTGTGTAAATGTTACATCGTGTTTTGAAGGCCCATCTGGGGTGTGCAAAGGCAGCTTACGGCCATTCCGGCCTGGGACTGCCCGATCTCGCCTGATCTCGGAAGCCAGGCTTGGCAGGGCCTGCTTAGGACTTGGACGGGAGAGCGTCTGATCCTGGCTAGGGACTTCCAGGCGGACTGGATCCTTTTCCTGAATGTCCACCCAGGAATGAGCGTCTGTTTGTGAGTGAGGACCTCCGGCTGAAGGTGGCCTTGTCGCTGTACCCATACCCGGGAACGGGTGCCTATTCCTGTCTGTGGACTGCCAGCGTGAACGGTGTCCCGGTTCCTGGATGTTTACCCAGGAATCAGTGCCTGTGGATTCCAAGTGACTCTGGAGCACCTTGGACATTATGGGCAGAATACGTTTTTTGTCAATTAGCCGTAGAACATCTTTTGAAGGGCCGTTTGGGGGAGCTTGAGTGGCTTACGGCCACACCGCTCTGGGAGCGTCAGATCTCGAAAGCTAAGCAGAGCGGGGTCTGGTTAGTACTTGAACGGGTGACCGCCTGGGAATACCAGGTGCTGTAAGCCTTTTTCGCTTCGCCTTCGAAAAACGGCAGAGGGCGCTTCGGTGAAAGGAGATCTTTTGAACGTCTCTTTAGGAAACAGCAGGGGGCGCTGCTGCTGCTGCTGCTGCTTCTTTTTCTCCCGATCCTGTACACAGTGCTGTGTAAATGTTACATCGTGTTTTGAAAGCCCATCTGGGGTGTGCAAAGGCAGCTTACGGCCATTCCGGCCTGGGACTGCCCGATCTCGCCTGATCTCGGAAGCCAGGCTTGGCAGGGCCTGCTTAGGACTTGGACGGGAGAGCGTCTGATCCTGGCTAGGGACTTCCAGGCGGACTGGATCCTTTTCCTGAATGTCCACCCAGGAATGAGCGTCTGTTTGTGAGTGAGGACCTCCGGCTGAAGGTGGCCTTGTCGCTGTACCCATACCCGGGAACGGGTGCCTATTCCTGTCTGTGGACTGCCAGCGTGAACGGTGTCCCGGTTCCTGGATGTTTACCCAGGAATCAGTGCCTGTGGATTCCAAGTGACTCTGGAGCACCTTGGACATTATGGGCAGAATACGTTTTTTGTCAATTAGCCGTAGAACATCTTTTGAAGGGCCGTTTGGGGGCGCCTGAATGTCTTACGGCCACACCGCTCTGGGAGGGCCCGATCTTGTCCGATCTCGGAAGCTAAGCAGAGCAGGGCCTGGTTAGTACTTGGACGGGTGACCGCCTGGGAATACCCGGTGCTGTAAGCCGTTTTCGCTTCGCCATCGAAAAACGGCAGAGGGCGCTTCGGTGAAAGGAGATCTTTTGAACGTGTCTTTAGGAAACAGCAGGGGGCGCTGCTGCTGCTGCTGCTGCCTCTTTTTCTCCCTATCCTGTACACAGTGCTGTGTAAATGTTACATCGTGTTTTGAAGGCCCGTCTGGGGTGTGCAAAGGCAGCTTACGGCCATTCCGGCCTGGGACTGCCCGATCTCGCCTGATCTCGGAAGCCAGGCTTGGCAGGGCCTGCTTAGGACTTGGACGGGAGAGCGTCTGATCCTGGCTAGGGACTTCCAGGCGGACTGGATCCTTTTCCTGAATGTCCACCCAGGAATGAGCGTCTGTTTGTGAGTGAGGACCTCCGGCTGAAGGTGGCCTTGTCGCTGTACCCATACCCGGGAACGGGTGCCTATTCCTGTCTGTGGACTGCCAGCGTGAACGGTGTCCCGGTTCCTGGATGTTTACCCAGGAATCAGTGCCTGTGGATTCCAAGTGACTCTGGAGCACCTTGGACATTATGGGCAGAATACGTTTTTTGTCAATTAGCCGTAGAACATCTTTTGAAGGGCCGTTTGGGGGCGCCTGAGTGGCTTACGGCCACACCGCTCTGGGAGCGCCCGATCTCGTCCGATCTCGGAAGCTAAGCAGAGCAGGGCCTGGTTAGTACTTGGACGGGTGACCGCCTGGGAATACCCGGTGCTGTAAGCCTTTTTCGCTTTGCCTTCGAAAAACGGCAGAGGGCGCTTCGGTGAAAGGAGATCTTTTGAACGTCTCTTTAGGAAACAGCAGGGGGCGGTGCTGCTGCTGCTGGTTCTTTTTCTCCCTATCCTGTACACAGTGCTGTGTTACTCAGAGAATTCTACATGAAAGCCTCTAAAAGGTAGAAGCAGGCTCTTTTAACCTGTACACATTGAGTTGATGGCTTCCAGTGACCTGTTGGACTTTGGAGTCAAATTTCACTCACTTTCTGTTGTTTTGCACAGATCAGTCACAGGACAGAGTGTTTCACCAGATCTCACCTTTACAACAAACAATACCAATTTCATACAGCCATATTTCTCTCAACAGTACTCTTTTGCTTCTTAAGCCTAAGCGAGTGTGTAAAGCGCCTTTTGTGGATTTTATGAGCTAAATGGAGTTTTAATACCAAAATACAACTGTATGATGGGTGTGGGACGCTTATTTGAGCTGTATGAGTCCTGTTCAGTGAAATATGGCTGTATGAAATTGGTATTGTTTGTTGTAAAGGTGAGATCTGGTGAAACACTATTGACCTGTAGGGCACTGTAACGATGTTACAGGAGGAGATACAAACGAGAGAACAGAGATACACGGAAAACATGCATACGCTCAAAGAGAAGTATGCGGAGCTGGAAGCCATTCGCGAAAAGGACATAGGAGATGCAAGTGTACGTGATACGGAACACGATAAGGCCATAATCGCGTTAACGGATATGCTCGCAGGCCTAACCGCGGACATTCGTAATCGAGATAGAGAGGACGAAACCGTGAGGAAAAACAATGAAGAGAAACGAATAGAAGTAGAGCACGAGCTCGATACGCTCGAATCGCGTAACGTAGTATTGAAACAGGAAAACGAGGACCTTAAGGGTGAGATACGGGCACTAACAACCCGGTACAGTGAGAATATTACAAGACTCCAGGTACAGTTCGAGGAGTCGCAGAGTAAGGTACTCGAGCTATCAGAGTGCATATGTAATGCTCGGGGTGAACTGGATAGGGTTATGGCTAGTGAGAAAAGGGCCCGCGGTGAGCGTGATGATCTCGAGCAAGAGGTACGTATGCTCAATGTGGACAATGGTGTACTTCTGAAATATAACAAGGACATGCGTCTCTTGTTGGAAGATCTGTTTGGTATAGAGAACTGCGAACCTACCCAGGTGTTACAATTAATCGATCAAGGTCAGCGGGCCTCCCTGGTCAGGATACGTGGGTTACTTACACGTGCGTGCCGGTTGGTGAAGCGTATACCGGATGAACACACGGAATTAATGGAATGTGACAATAAGGTTGGGATCGTGTTTAAGAGATACGAACACGATATATATAATATCCTAACAGGCATGGAGGAGCCAGTCATGGACTGGACAGGTTCCACTCGTAAGCGACACATTCGTACACCTACCAGAGCCAAGACACGGAAAACCGTACCCGAACCTATGGATGAGCATGTGTATACCAAGGGTAGTGACGAAGATGAGAAAAAGTATATGAAGTTACAACGGGAGGACGGTTACAGTGGCATTCTGGAGAAAGCCGAGATGAGTGATATTCCTTTGGATGACAGGCAGCGCCCGGGGGCCCGGGTTTGTGCTAGCGGTCAGTTGGTGTGGATGAGACTATCCACCTAGATGCGAAACACAATATTGCCTCGCATCTTGACCTTACTGTGAAAACAGAGGGTACCTTACCTGAGGTGCGTGTTTATGTGAAAGACGAACGCTCTAAATCAGAGTGTGAGGACCGTCGTGTGTCACAGAGCCAGCTGCCAGCTGACCACTCACAGAAAACACCGTGTAGCCCGAACCGTGACTCGGTACCACCTGGCCGCTCGGCTGCAATCCAGGTGCATAGACAAGATAATGGTAACACTTTTGACATTGAACTCGGGACTGACACGAAGACACTCAGGGTACCTATCCCTGGACACATAGCGGAGACCTTGATTACATATGGGGATGTTAAACTCATCACACTCGGGCGCGGCAAGCCTCTCAAGAAATTATGCGATGTACTACAAAAATCCAACTATTGGAAATGGCAAGGCTGCATCAATGTACACTAGACTGGACTATAGGGACTCGAGTTTGTATGTAATCATAGTGTACAAGCGGGACAAAGGTCGACTGTATTACTTGCTATCTGTTGAGGTATCCGGTTCTTACACGTGCAACCTTCTCGGTATACCCTTCTCGGATATCTGTTCACTCTCACATTCCACGCACGTGAATAAATGTATGGGCCCTAATCATACATGTCTAATAACGTGTGTTGGTACGGACAGTGTTGTGTTACATGACAATGAGGAGGGTGATAGCACACAAGAGGTTTAACAAAGGCACCTTTCGCCAAAACACTGGTCTAATACGTGTACAGGTATAACAAAGGAGCATTAAACAGAGACCGATCTTCTATCAGTATGATTGCAACAGTGCACAACTGGACACAGTAAGGGACACAAGCTCGTAATGAGTGTACAATGTTTAATAAAGTGACATGCTCTTAATGGGTGTACAATGTTTAATAAAGTGACATGTGTCAACAATGACATTTCGTGTATTGCTTTCACACGTATAGGTTTTACAAATCATGTATGTACACATCCAACACCTCTTAGGACATTACCAGGTAGTAGTACCATTTGGAAACGTATTACAATATAACAACACCGTACAGCACACAGCTCCTAATACACGGAGCCTAAGAATAGCCAAGGGTAATAAAGTAGTACTCGAACGTTACCCGATCGAGGAACACTACACACAGAACACAGATATTAGTATGCAACGCTACTACTACAGATTATATCTCACCACAGGTACGTATAATAAATACTGGGACATGCCATCGGGCTAATGAATATACAGGGAACATGGTCTACGTATGTAATAACTCTGAGCGTAACAGTGTCCACACACAGAACACGGGTACGTTAAGAATGGTCCAGAGAGATATTTGTCAGAAATGGAGTTTTGAGAGTCTTGTATTTGCCTTCTTGCACACGAGACAGCGCGTTCCATCGCATGTACAGGATACATGGCCGCAGCTTAGCACCCATGACTTAACACATTGACATTTATTACATTGGAACTGGAACCCGGGTGGAATCCAGAGTGCTTTACCTACACTTATCTCCTTACAAACCCCCCACGTAACACGGGTTTCAGATCTCAGTGTCGCGTAGCACACGTGACAGCACACGTGTCCGCAGTGTAGGTATCTGTCAGCGTCTCCAAAGCAGCAGTAGCATTGTACAGGGCTCCTTTCACGTCCCACACCGGCGAGTACCACGATGTCATCTGCAAGACAACATATTACATATTCACATGTATGTTCATAAGACCCGGTGTCACTATCGGGTAAACAAATATCGTATCATGCGGTTGTATATTACCAGTAATCACGAGCCCGTTGTCCCGTTCCACCTCCATCACCGGAACGAGGCTACAGTCTGGTGTCACGTGCGCAGATGGGATGAATCGCCCATCCTGAGTGATAACATCTCTGACTGTAGTCAGTGAATCCTGGTAATACAAGGCTACCATCATCTCATCATGCGCGGGCAATCCGTTCGTATGCACAGAGGTATGTGTATGAACACCGGTTCTGCCAGGTCTGCGTTTCAGAGCATTGTACCTGGCCCTCATTTTCACATGTTTCATTTTATGATACAAGGGCGGGAAGCCCGGTGCACGTGCAAAGTGTTCATCCTGGGTAGACACTGCTGCGTATACCACTGTCATGTCATGATCTATCAGGGCGGTACATGGTGCCCTAGTTGACAGTGATATGTGCGAGTCCCAGACCTCTGAACAGGTAAGATTGTACATTCGTAGAAGTTCGTAGAGCGATTGAGACTCTTCGCATCGAACTGTGGTCAGTCTGTTTGTAGTCCCAGGCACTATCACAGTAACATCATGGGGCTTCTGTGGACACACACACACACACAGAGAGAGAGAGAGAGAGAGAGAGAGAGAGAGAGAGAGAGAGAGAGAGAGAGAAACAGAGAGAGAGAGGGAGAAACAGAGAGGGAGAGACAGAGAGGGAGAGAGAGGGAGAAACAGAGAGGGAGAGACAGAGAGGGAGAGAGAGAAACACACACACAGAGAGAGAGAGAGAGAGAGAGAGAGAGAGAGAGAGAGAGAGAGAGAGAGAGAGATTTGATTTTCAAAACCCTTTTTAATTACAATATACACAATAACTATTACAAACTGCCAAACAACATCATTAATTTAAAGACCAATAAAAAATCTTAAAAGATAGAAAACAGCAACTCTTCTTCAACAATTTCACAAAGGACCTTATTTAAACACCATCTTACCTCAAAGGATAAAAAATCATGCATTAATCTATAATAATGATAATCAATTAAAATCCTAGATTTGACTAATTTTATAAAAATTGCTACCAAACTGTTACAAACATTTTGCTCAATTTTTTTTTCCTTGTGGTATAAATCACCATTTTTGCCTGACCTATCAAGAAATTAAACAATTGACACTTATGACGAAATTTCTTCACATATTTAAATCCACAAATAAACACTTTCATTGAAAAAACCTCATTAAAAGAATCAAAAAATTTTCTCAAAATATCAAATAAAGGTTTTAACCTCCCACAGTGCATAAAAGCATGAAAAATAGTCTCTTTTTCCAAACAAAAAGGGCAGCCTTCAGTCACTTCAGAATTGATCAAGGAGACGAATGCATTTACTGCAATAGCACCATGTAACACTCTCCACTGTAAATCCCCAGTTTTTTGATTAATGGTGACTTATACAAGGCTCTCCATTCTGGCTTTTCATCGACAGCAAGATTAAGTATATTTCGCCATGGTGTATCACACTTGTTATCTAAACATTTCTTATTAAAAACTTTTACACAAACCTTGTACAATTCTTTCCCAAGTACAACATTTGAACCCACAATCATTATTTCTTTACAATGTAAAAAATGCTGTTGTGTTCTCCCAAAATGGGAGAAATACCCAACTTCGGAAAAGGGTCTTTACAATCAGGGTTTATTAACCCCTGTGAGTAATGATCCAGCAGTTCTGTCTCTTCCTCAGTGAGGGCCGATCTCCACTTTTCAAGTGCTTTTTCTACTATACGGCATGATTTGAGTCCTAAATGCTCAGCAATCGCGGTCACATTCCTAAAAGCAGGTCCTGCTATTTGATGTAGATGACCAATTTCTGTCAACTTGGCATTACACAAAGTCCTTTCTGGTATGGCAAAAGAAAACTCACGTGATAAATCCAAACGTGAGCCACCGACCAATGGTTCTCGAAGTAGCCAAAACAGAGAAGCAACATTGCTTTCCCTACTTTTCTTAAACAGAGACCAAACTTTTAATAAGTTACGATAAAAAACTGGACAATTAGATATTTTCAATCTTTGAGAGTCCAACCAGAATAAAGTTTTGTCCAGTCCTAGCCCTTCGATATTCCGGAGGATCGCACAGGCAGCCGCCATCCAACTGGACTCTGAGGAGCACTTCAAAAGTCTCTGTACATATTGCAGACGAAATGCAGCCGTTCTGCTCTGCAAGTGTATCAACCCAAGTCCTCCTTCGTCTTTTGATAAATACAACACACTTTTTGATACCCAGTGCATTCTTTCCCAGAAGAAATCGATTAACATTGACTGAATTTTCGTCAGTACATCTACTGGGGGATCTATACAGGCTAGGCGGTGTAAAAGTACAGAGGCAACCAGATTGTTTATGACCAAAATTCTGCCTTTATAGGAGATTTTAAGGAGTAAAAACCTCCACTTATCCAGTCGCCCTTTGATCTTTTCAACAGTGCCTTCAAAATTCTTTTTTACAACATTTTCATCTCCTACAAAGACTCCTAGATATTTAAAACCATGTCTTGTCCAGTTTAGTCCATCAGGAACCCTTGGTTCACCTTTTGGCCATTTTCCAACTAGTATGGCTTCACTTTTTTCCCAGTTAACCTTTGCTGAAGAAAGAGTTTTAAAATCATCTAAAATCTTCAACATCACATTGACATCGTTGGGTTCACTGATTATGACAATGACATCATCAGCGTATGCTGATAACTTAAAAACAGTAGCACAATTTGGCATACACAGTCCACACACATTAGATCTTAGTTTTTTTAACAGGGGTTCTATGGTGTACAACATGCCTGACAGCGCACAGCCTTGTCTGACACCCCTGTAGACACTAAATGGAGAGCATAAGTCACCATTAATCTTTAATATACTCTCAACGCCACAATACATCATCTTAATCACTTCAATAAACTCCGAACTAAAACCAAAGGCTTTTAAAACACTCCATAAATAAATATGCTGACTCTGTCGAAAGCCTTCTCTTGATCGATTGATATCATACCAAAATCTACGTTAAAAATTTTTCCACAGTAAAAAATATCTCTGATAAAAGAAACATTATCAAAGATTCTCCTTCCTGGTACGCAATATGACTGATCTGGATGAATAATCGATTCAATGACTTCCCCCAATCTGATTGCCAAAGCTTTAGACAATATTTTATAGTCATTACACAATAAACTTACTGGTCTCCAATTTTTGATGTCGTTTAAATCTCCTTTTTTAGGCAATAAAGTAATAATTGCTCTACGGCAGCTTCTAGGCAGTTGTCCATCTGCCCGACTCTCATTAAAAACTGTTAATAATTCTGGACCTATTTCTACCCAAAAAGATTTATAAAATTCAGTTGTAATGCCATCAATACCTGGTGCTTTTCCATTTTCCATTCTTTTAAGGGCATTTTCGAGCTCAACTAAACTCAAAGTTTTACTAATTTCCTCATTTGCATTTTTAGTTATCTGAGGTAAATTTTCAAAAAAATTCAAATTATCATCTTGCTCTTCAGAAATTTCACTTTTGTACAACTCTTTATAAAAAAGTACAGCTCTCTTCCTAATATCTGAGGGATTTGTCAACAAATCCCCTTCTTCAGACTGCAAGGCATGAATGAACTTTTTCTGTCCATTCTTTTTTTCTAGACTGAAAAAGAATTTAGAAGGAGCATCCATTAATTCTGCACTTTGAAAACGGGATCTAATGATAGCACCTTGTGTTGCACAACCTAGCATGTCAGATAATTTTTTTTTTTCCTTTTTATGTGCTCTATATGGGTGGCATCTTTTGTGGACTCTCTCGCTCTTGTAGCTTCATCAACTCTTCTTCTAACATACTCATTGAGGTATTTTTGTCTCTTGTGGCGTTGTGAGTATATTGTTGACACAATTGTTTGATTAGTATTTTAACAAAATCCCACCACTGCTGCAATGTTAAGAAAGATGATTTCATAGCTTTAGCATTTGTCCAGAACTCTTTAAAAACTTTTCTAAAAAAAAAGTCAGATAATAAATTATTGTTAAAATGCCAATAAGCACTTTTTGATTTGACAAAACTTTTTGCTACAACACATTTTATCAAGCTGTGATCGGAAAAACAAACCGGACTTATTGAACATTCTCTAAACATGCTTAATTGATGCTTAAATCCATAGAATCTATCAAGCCTTGCCAGCGATAACTGATTTTCATGAGCATGAGCCCAAGTATACTGTCTCTGTATACCATGGAAATTCCTCCATATATCAATTATGCTATGAGACTTTTTCATTTGAATTAGCCTCTTTCTGGATTGCATGTGTGGTTCAACATGATTTCGATCTATGACATTTTCAGTACAATTAAAATCCCCTCCTAACATTAAAAAATCATCATTATAACACTCATTTAAAACATCATCCAAAGTGTTCAAAAATATCATTCTTTCCAATGCCATAGTTGGAGCGTATACACAGACAAAAACAAAAGAACTATTTTCAAATACAGCTTTAATCTTCAGCAACCTTCCTTTCATTTTTTCCTCTATACTATAAGAGTATGGAGTAAAATCTTTTGAAAATAACACTGCAACTCCACCACTCAATGAGGTATGATGGCTTAAAATCACTAATCCATCAAATTCTTTTACCCAGTCTACAGCATTTGATACATCAGTATGTGTCTCTTATAAAAACAACACATCAATTTTCTTATATTTCATTAATTCAAAAACTTGAGCTCTCTTCTTAAAATCTCTTGCTCCATTAACATTCAAGGAAGCAAAATGTATTTCCCCCATAAAGGATAAAGAAAGAGAGCAAAAGAAACAAAGCCGTAAAAGATGCCTCAATTTACCCATTCTGGCTGTTTTCACTGGGCCCGCCTGACTGACTACTTAATTTCGTAATAATTTTCTTAAGACGGTAAACCTCTTGATTAGTGAAACAGCTTTCACTTCTAAAAATCTTTACCTTCTCGATAAACTGTATTATGTCTGGAAAATACTCCTCTAGGTTGACTTTTTTCACATTTTTTGTTATTTTCAAAAATGACTTAATATCCACAACAGTGTACGTTTGGCTAGAGAAACCACTTTGGGGCAGACTAGCAGTGACACTACATTCTGAAATGTCACTTTCGCTCTCAGTGTCAGTCTGGCTCATATGAATGCCATCTATTCTTTTTGCTTTTTTTTCAGCAGGGCATTCCAACAACTTCCTTTTTGGGGGATTTTAAAGAGACATTCTTCATCTCCCAACACAGAATCACCATCTTCTGGATTTACCATAGCCTCGTCTTCACTGTTACTGCCATCATCTGAATCAACAACTGCTTGTTCTATCCTCTGGGAACATATACCCTCTTTCTCCCCAGCTGCAGCTACACCGACTTTTCAACAATTTCTGAATTTTCCACAATCTCAGAAACCTTCTCTACTACATTAGGAGCAACCGACGCCCTGCTTGGACCCGGCATCTCCTCAACAACTGTAGCGATTTCATTCTGCACTTCATTTGCACTTTCTGAAGCAACAGTTAATGCAGTTTTATTTACGTTTTCCTCTCTTTTTGGACAACCACGAAT